TTAGACAAAATAAATCTGTGCTCATGATACATGTCTGTACTTACCTGTAGGATGCATGACTAAGAAAAAATTTTCGCTCAGAGGCGAGGGCTGATTTAATGTCTTTTCTACCATCAATGTCTGCCTGGCTTCTGTTTACCACACCAATATAACCTGAAAAGGACACCAAACAAAAATTCTAGAGATTTGCACAAAAATTTTCATTGCAATGTATAATTATCAGACAGTACCTCTTCTTAAGGGGAGGACTCTGTTCTCAAGAATTTCTCTGGCATCTGTTCCTTCATCCATGAGATCTAACTTTGTTATCACTCCAATTGTTCGCACTCCTGGAATAAAAAATCAAGAAGGACATCCACAAGCTGCACACAATCAATATATGATTACTGTAATTTTTACAGTTTCCAGATTTACCATTGACCCTTTGTTGTTTGTGAAGAATAACCAGGATATTATCAACAAGAGTTTCAAATCAGTAAAAATTAACCTTCCACTCAAAAGTGACCAAAACAGAATTTCTCCAAGTACAATATCAATACAATATCAAGCAGATAAGTGATGAGTACAAAAAAAATAATCAATTAGGGGAATTACCAATGAGATCTTGGGAGTGAAACAGTTGGGGTAAAAGGAAAAAATTTTTAAAAAAATTTAAATTTTGCTGTATCTTTCTTCAACCAAACACTTTCTGAAAATGGCACAAATGATATACATTCCAATAAAATAATTGGCTGCAAGAAAGATGCCAATCTTACCCTCAGGATCAACCTCTTTTGCAATCTTTAATGCATCAGAGTTTGCCAGATCTGAGTTTGCAGGAGACACTGCTAGCACCAAGCAGTTTGGTTTGGTGATGAACTGAAACAACATACTTCTAATCTGCATTTCGATATCTGGAGGCTGGTCGCCTACAGGAACTTTTGTCATACCAGGAAGATCTACTAGCGTCAAATTCAATACTGCAAAAACACAAGGTAGAGTTCTTTAGATAAAGGTTTGGAAGAAAGAACCAGGGTCTTCAAGAATTTGAATTAAAGCAATTTTGATGTTATACTGGTAGGATGAGACATTAGAGATAAAACATTTGTAGAGGTTCTGAGACACTAAGTGACAAGTTACTCAATAAACATTTATTGGAAAACTTAAGAAAAATCCTGTACTTGACATGACATATAATTATTTTCTTGTGAATTAAATTTGTGTACAAAAGTTGCATAACTATACTTCATCAAATTACCAGCCATGCTATTGACTGGGATTCTGCACAATGCGTAACCTACAACACTAACTATTTTCAACAACGATTCTGGAAAGCTGCATGGTTCTCTAACTTGTAGGACAGACTCCCCTCAACAGATGCCAACAACTTTTGGCACCATACAAACCTCTTGTACACTACATTTACACCACAAATGACTCTTGTAAACAGTAACATCATGGCTGAATGGACCAATCAGTTTGCACAAACTTCTCCCGGACAATCAGACCACACAATCAAAAATATGTTTATTATCTACATTCATTATTGGTTGGCAATTAGTTAAAACAAATCCTTAACAAGAAAGTTGCATACCATGAGGAGAATAAACTCGTAGGTTAATTGGTATTGATGAGATTCCTTTGTTGCTGCCAGTTTCTCGGTCAGTCTCTGCAACAATCTCTTTTCTCACTTCTTCAAAATCAACAAATTTCTTTCCCTTGCAATGGAGAAATTCTGCCCACTCTACAGTGAAAAAACACAGACCACAAAAATGTGCACGTGCCAACATAACATAAATCTAGTTTATTCACACATTTATGAATATAATTTCTTTTAACCCTTTAACTCCCAAGATCTCTTACAAAGTAATTCTAATTCTCTTTACTTTTCCCATACAGTTCTTGTGATGTTAGTTTGGAGAAGTTGGTATTGAATCAACTTATAATTCCCTAACTGATATTTTTCTATATTCTCATCACTTGTCTGCTTGATATTGTATTGATATTGTAAGGAGAAATTCTGTCTTGGTCACTCAAGGGAGTTCAAGGGTTAATTACATTACTATTGATACTGATGTTTGTCTTACATTTTCTCTAACCATTTTCCAAAATGTGTACAATTTTTACATAAATGTACATTAATGATATCCCACGAGACAAAATTGCATTAGTCACAATCAATGAAGTGACTATTATAGTAGCAAGTCAGTCTCTGACATGTAACTGAAAATTCGTAAAATTTGCACAAGAGAGGTTGTATCTCTTTCTGTACCAATCCCTGCTTACGCTATAAGAATCACGGACGTTGTAACAAATTGTATTTTAAATTTTATGATAAAACTCAAATGGAAAAAAAAAAAAGAAAAAAATAGGTCAGCTTTATTTATAGCCTGTAACGTAATCTTGTTGAACAGATGTCTGTTCGCAAAAATATAATGAACAATTGTAGAAGTAAAGTAAAATACGTTGACCGTTCAATAGACTGCATGTTTGTACAAGTAGAGTAAATTTAAATGTACATCAATGCATTGATAAACAGGCTTTGTCACACCCCATTAAAACAGCCGTACTCAGTGACTTGAAGTTCAACGTGTCCCGGAAAGCTAGCTAAATTCCCATTCGCCATTTTGAAGCTAATTTCAAAAAAAACAAACCTGTCTTGGCCGGATGGAGTTGCAGTATCAGCGGTCTTCTTGTGACGATTCCAGATCCTCTCGGAAGAAAGTCCCTACATGACGATGTATTTATTTTCAAGACAGATGACGCCGAAAAGAACTCAATTATATCATAAAATAAATGCCCTACCTGCCCACAAAGTTTTCTAACACACTACTCTTGCCGGCACTTTGACTTCCGACGACGGCGATCTGCGGTAAATCTACGTTCGATGGCTGCCCAATGTGAGCGAACGCATCTTGGATTTTGTTCATAACGGGAATAAGGTCTTCCATACCTCGATTCCCCATCTTTGAAACGAAAATATCACAGTAACCTTTGCAACAAGACCACTCTGAGTGACACAAGTACGTACCCTCACGATCACTTTTACAATGTTCAACCTCGTTCTCAAGGGACCACTGGTTGAAAATTCGAGAGTCATTTCCTTTTCAGTCAGCGGAAATCACTTTAAAGTTCCCAGCAGACATTTCGTAGAAATGGCGGCGTGTTCAAACAGCCTTCTAGTTGTGCTACACCTACGAAACAATTCTGCATTGACCTCATCCCGAGAGATACAGTTAATTGCATTGTTTCAATGCAGAACAGCTTCTAGCCTCTACAGTTTGTATTTAACAAGAATTTTGCTTGAAAGGTGAGGATTATTTGTTGGTGATATGGATGAACAGGCCAAAAAAATCTCGTCGGAGCGAAAGGTAACGAGAGACAAGTCAATTTTGAAATGTTAATGATTCTTCTGGCGATGGTGAACAGTTGCTATAATGTTCGCGTTAAGGATTATTGAGGTCGCTGAATTTAGAATTCTTCACGTGGCGCTGTAGAAAAACAAATATCGTGCCATCCGGCAAAGAGACAGAGACTTCATTCATTGTCACTGCAGTTATGAATTTATAAGATTCGAAAGACCGTCCAAATAATCATGTTCAAGTTGTATTTCTTGCAGAGAAAAAATCCTTTTTGAATCACTTTTATTCAAATTTTCTGTCTAGGTTTCACGGCTATGACTCACCCAGGGTGCACCGTGCTTTAAAACGCCGCAGTGCTTGCCTTGCAATTTCAAAATTGCCTACGAGACTCTTTATCGGCTGTGGTGGTTTCGTTAGGCCCTTGAAGGGCTAAGTTATATGCGATATAAGGGGGAGATGGGCGAAATCTTCTCAAGGCCTTCTATTTTGTGCTCGGTTGAATCTATTTAGTCGATAATTTACTCTTCGTTTCTCGATAGAAAATCATATATTCCTTTCCATTCTTCAGATTGTCCATGCTGGCGATATTTTTGTCACGAGTAAACATGCAGACGGTGAACCCTACATATAGGTAAGTAACTTTAAAGTTTAGAATCAAATGAAAGCAACTTCTCCACCTTATTTTTTCTCTTTTTTCATTTTTACTTTGTTCCTGCTTACTCCATCAAAGTATGTTTTACACGGATAGGTTTGCAGTCATTTCAATATCTTTATTGGGGTAGCATACCGATCCCATAGGGGTGGGGGTTGGTTTCTTTTAGAAAAAAAAAACTGTGGTGCTGCGTCGGTGGGGTGTATAATCAAGATAATGTAAATTGGCCAACGTGAAGAGTTTTTAAAGCTGATTTTTCGAACTTAAGCTCTTCGTCGGAGCGAATATAAACCTTACTATTCCTGTTGGGGGAAAAACCAGGATCCGTTACAAACTGTGCGGATTGGGAAATACAAGTTGGTTAGATAATCATGATATATGCTAATTAGGATATTGCGACAAATATGATAATTATGATTGGGTTAAATAATTGTTTTATCTCCGACGGGTTCGTGAAACGACTTCCATTCGCATCGAACAACTTGACGCACAAAGAAAATATAATAAGTCTGCTCGGTATTGTTGTTCGATCATTGGTTCCTTTAAACACATTATTTTAGGACAATAAAAGATCCAAACATTCATCAGCCCGCCAAATTTGAGATTTTGCCATCATTAACTGCTTTTATTAAATCACAGCCCGTTCAATTGACCAATCACAGCGTGCCTAGTAACTGTGGGATACAACAATTTAAAATGATGTTCAGAGAACCAACTAATTCAAGTCGTCAAATTTTGCGTTGGATCTACCCTCTGAATCGTGCATTCAGGCTTGTTGGGACCAAGCCTTTTTGACGAAGCTTCAATTAATTCTTCGTCATGCGATTCCTCTAGCACGCTCAAAAATCTACCAGTTTCTGTTATTTCTGACGCGAAGCTATCCGACAGTTCTTGACCGTTGATGCATGAAGTATCCACCATCGACCTGCACTCTGCTACTTCGTTTACAACAAGAAATAGCAGTTTAACGTTGCGCTCATGAACTTTTGTGAAGAACTTAATTCTTCTCCGCAAAGCCTTTTTTTCGGTGCCTGATTTTTCGATTAACACTACAGATGGCTCCGCGTCTATGGTTTCGCTTTTATGTCCTCCTTCTTCTTCTTCTCCTTTTTGTTCCGGTTCCATGGCTCCTATATACTTCTTTTCATTTTCAATGATCGCGTCAAGCATTTCGTGAAAGGAGTTAAACTTTCCAAGAAGTTCGTAGAAGTTTTGTCGACTCTCTGTCGTGCATATACCCCGTATGTACCTTAGTTTCCACAACACGACTTCGTTATGCAGCTGTGTTTGAATCTGTTCCATTTTTGATAAAAGCTCCCTCGCAGTCCGCGCCAAGCTTGCACACTTCACATCAGCACAGCATCTGGAACCGTTCCTTAATACGTCCTGATTAAGAGGAAAATATGTTTCAGAAACAGCTAACCCTTTATTCCGAAAGGTCTAATGACTCTTAAGATTCTCGAACGTTAGTCCGGCGCACGCGCTCTGACTCAAACGGGTCGCAGCGTCTCTCATTCCCACCATGTCTGACAAACTTAAACGGACAACGAGCTAGGCAGTGTTCCAAGCCAAGCTTTATTCAAAATCTTCAATGTATGAAAATGTGTAACTCACTAAGACTTCAGACCATGAAAACTATGGTACGAAAACTTTATACGACTTGACACATGACCGTCACACAATAGTCGCCAAACTAGCGACTATCGCTACAAATAAAGTGGACAAGTTTTCTTTGTCTAGTCAAAACACCGTCGCAGTTTGGAGCACTTCTAGGAACCGTAGCAGAAATGTTCTTCTCACTTTTTATTTTAGTACCGATGTTGTATCCATTTTTTTCTTTTACACCCGAGTTCATGGCAAAACACACTTCGAGAGTAGATTGCCCTATTGTTCAAGTACACAACAAAATGACTCCTGGTTACTCTCGAAGTCATAATTCTTCGACGCCTGCACTTCGCAATGAATTTTCTTTTTGGATTAAGATGTGTTTATTATGCTATTCCTAAATGAATTCTTAAAATATTTTGAATTTGGTAAGCCCTATAGTGATCAGTGGCAGAAATATTGAGCTAAATCGGGTCTTATAGTAATCAAAAGAATCTACGATTTTGTGCCGGTTCAGTTCTGCCTCAATTATCCTTTATGGAATCAAATATTATATAAAGGAAATTCTTCTCTCAAAGATTTTAACGTACTCTTTTGCTAGTCAAACTGTGAAAATTAATGAAAACTTCCTTCATCTCTCATTATTTATTCAGAAAACCACAGGTCAGTTGATTTATTACAAAACGAAAAACAAAAACAAAAAAACTAGCAACAGGCACCTAACAGCTTCATCAGTGAGAAGTCAAATTCTTCCGAGTGATGGATCATTTTCTTCAAACGAATGCGCAGGTGTGCGTTTCAATTTTCCTTTGAACTGTTATGTGCTCTGTGGAAATGAGTCTGAGAAACATACGTTATATGTTACGCGAAAACCATGGCGCTTGTTCACACATACAATATCGCTATGCATCCTCGACTTATTCTGACTCTATTAAAATTCAAATCCTTAAACTGAAACCAAACGTGAGGATTTAATGGTATTCCCCAGTGGGTCAATTAAGGTAAGAGATTTGATTGGTGGTGCGGTTAATGGTAATACGACAATTATCTTCGTTTAGGCGTCATAAAATTCTGAGTGGAATTAAAGATTTACGCAATGATAGAAAATCAAAGATGGAATTGATACCTATTTTTAGATGCATCACGCCGAAGCACGCACGAATTTTGGAAGACATACTAAGCTTCTCGTGTTTATTCGAGAATTTGCTCCAATTTGTTTGCTTTCTTTCACTTGCATAATTATTATTTAGGAGAAGGAAAATGATTGGAAAGTTTTTACCACAAAGCTGTGACAAAAAAATTGGAATCAAATTTTCTTTTTGATATATTTCTAAACAATTACGTTTGGTACTAAATACAGTTTTGCCTGATCAATCTCAAAACGTATGCTTAGTCAAGGTTAAACAATTTTCTTCTAAAAGTCTGATTGCAGTCTCGAAAATACTTCGACCGCGGGATAACTGATTTATGTCACTGTGAAAAAAATCACAAATTTTCGACTGAATATTCCATACAGACGGAAGGTTTAGTCACTTATCATACTGAAGTTGCACCCCAATAAACAATTTACCGTCAGTTTTGAGCAGCTATCCTGTTGTTCTTTCTGGGTGAGTGATGGTTTTCCTCTTGAGAATGGAAATCTGGAGAGAATTCGCCAGCAGAATGACATAATCGTTCCCATGATCAAACTGGCAATAATCACCTGGTGTTCAGAGTCGAGATGCACCGATCAGCTGCCACGAGATGACTTGCTTTATTTATATGGACTGTCTCACGAGAGCTCCTCCAGCGATTCGGCGCAGATGACGATTAGATAAAAGTACCAACCACTCAAGATGGCTCTGCGCATTTACTTAAAAACGAGAACCATTTATCCACTCCACACAAAGCTATCTCCAGACCTAAATGATAACATGTAATAAATTGTCACAGTTTCGACCTTTATGGCCCTTTATTTTTCTTTATTTGTTTTTACACCATTTTTAATGAAAAGAGCTTCTTCAAAAAATATTTCTTTGCTATTTAGTGTCAATCCTGTGGAGTGCTCCCGAAATATTATTTTATTTTTTAGAGTTATGTAAGGCGCTAAATCAATTATGGCCGGCTAATATAAGCAATATCTTTCATTCAAGGGACTAATACCAAAATAGATCGGAGGTCCTCGGGTGTTTTCGTGTTACTTGGTGTGTTTCGTGTTATTCCGGCGTTCAATCTGTAGCAGTTCGACTCACTTTATCAACTAATTGGTTGAATTGGTCACACGTCCCGAGCTGAATGCATAATATTTTCATGTGTCTGCCTATGAATGGTGACTGTACTACTTATTTTGGTGATACTTCATCTGCATCTTTGTAAAATGTTTCGGCTACTTGCCAAATTTCTGAAATCACTTTCGGTGTTAAGTGGATCTCGTCTTTACTAAACAGCCGCACCTGGCAACACAAATGAAAGCTGTTTTGTTACGCAAATCTTATCATATGGTCCATCTGAACCTGTGAAAAATCAACAGGTTCCCTGAATTCCCACCCATATTCTCTGTATTACGCAAAAATCTTACAAAAACAAAATGAGTCTTTTGTGAGCATTTTACTTGTAGCGTGCTATACACTGGGCACATTGATATTTCGACAAGCTGCAAACTATCAGCGCCCTTTTAAAACGCAGACGGTTTATCCTCATTTTATTCGACACTTCTGTCTTATCAACGTAAACAAAGCGTCGAGTCTTGTTTTTCACGCCGTTCACGAACCACTACAAAAGCTGACAGATTTCATAAACCACACCTCAGTTTATGATACCGCTGACACAGACTCGCCCTGCTCGGACCTTGGCAGAAGGACATGTGCATGTGGTCTCATATGTGCAATACTGCAGGGCGTATTAACCTTGCAGTCAATACAGCACACCTTTGACACGATGACTTCACATCATCAGATTACACTAACGCTGTATAGAATTCGCAAAACCTGCAGCAAAACAGTTAGCCCGCTGGAATCAACCAGCAAGTAAGGAATCACATTTAGAACGTTGGGAGGAAGAAAGTGTTATCGTACTACACCGACTCACATAAAAAAAGTCACCACCTGCAAACTCGCTCAACCAAGTCGATTTGCAGCTCCGATTGAAACCAAGACGCAAAGGGTATCAGACAGACCACAACTTTCTCAGGTAAGGATTCTACCTGTTTATTTCCATTATCTCTATTTCAATGTATAAACACTAAGCACAAATTCTATGGGATAATTCCATCACAAGTGAGAGCTTTACTGCCCAAACATTTTTGCGAACAGGTAGATTATACAGAAATGTCTGGCCCCGAGCCGAAAAAATACAATGCGCTTCCCAAACTGTGATACTACGGTGAGCTTAGCTTTTGGAATTATTACACCTAAACTTTTCAACATTTTACATTGTTAATTTCAGGGAAGGTTGGAGATAGATTGCTTGTCTATAACTAAACCTATTAAGCCGGTTACCATGGGAACCACGATGAGTTCAGTGGGCTTGGCGAATAAGCCACCCGCATTGCCACCGGTAAAACAAAATAACACTGCGGTAAGTGGCTGTCTCTTTCTGACCCAGATATTGTTCATTTTTTAAGAAACGTTTTAAAAAAAAGTAGGAGAAATAAACACGACATTGGGTCTAATAATTAATTTTTTTTGCTATGGATTCATTTATGTCTGGTCAGTTAAGGTTTACACAAACTTCCTGTACGTCGTCTTGGTGTTTGCCAAGCGAAAGTGGATACTGTTGTCAACCGATGAAAAAATTGAATCGAAAAGAATATTAGGAAGGTTAAGAAGCCTGCTGGGCCAATAGCAAAAACTAGTTGTCAGATCGTGCCAATAAGAATTCTGAATTATATCAAGACAATCTTATTTCGACACTTCCACACATAAATTGATATTGATTTTTGTAATCCTCCGAAAGGAAGATTCAAGTTGAGTTTATTCCATTCAGTGTTACGCGAAGATCCTAAAATAACGTGTCAAACTTTATGATTGTGTAATTTAAAGTATCCGAAAATGTCTATGTATGAGCCAGTTCTCTACCCACACATTATGGCTCAGTTTGCCATCAGTGCCTATCTCGTGTAATTATTCGCTGAAATGTCTCTTCGCATATAATCTGACAATCCATTGAAACATGTGTCTTGTGCTGTTTTTACGTTTTGTTTGCTTCTCAACGTTTGTTTCTGAGTTGTGTGTTTCAGCCTTGTTTATTCTCAATTTGTGACTGACCGACAGACCGACGAAAAGACAAAGCGAAGATAGAGTCCATCAGTGTTTTGTGAACATTTGTGTAACATAATTCGTGTACGCGATTAGTTAATTAGTAGTATTGATGTTCGTATCAGTGAGACAGGTAAGTCAGCTATCTTGGCTTCAATATTGATATCACAGATAACAGGTTCAATTTCTTCCTTCTTGCGAAACATTTGCTTTAATTGAATCACTATTTTCCTCCTTTTTTTCATCTTATTATATTTTTTGTGCCCTTCTTTCTATGGAGTTGTGATAATCTCTAATGAAATGTGTACGTGTACTGTGTAACTTTATAACGTGTAGTGTAAACACGAGATTACAATCATCAACTGAAAGCTTCGCTGGAAACCTTCCATCATAACACCACCTTCAAATTCCTTCCAAGAATTCTTTAGTCTGATGTCTGATTAAATTGCAAATGAATGTGTTTGAATCGAGGCCAGGTTTTTTGATGTAAAATACGAAGAACCTCCAAGAAATTAATAATATCACTAGGGTGTAACACCAAAAGCCACGCCCAAATCACGATTTAGACATTTTGCAACAAATTTAACTCCTGGGGTAAGGGGAAAGCAAAGTCCTTGTTTGGATATATTCCTGACGGTATACATTTTCTTTCTTTTAAAAGGTGCTTTTGTTTTGTATCATTTGGCAAAGTCATTACTTATTTTAAGACCAATTTAAGTTTAACAACGTTTCCATAGGTAATCGCCACCGCGCAATCTCCACCGGACTACAAGTTTGAACACTTTACCAAACTTTGTCAGCATTATCAAGAACAAAAGAAAATATTGCAGGTGTGAATGATTTCACTAAGTCTTGGGAGGTTACCAAAATGTTAATGGTAATAGGACTGAACGGAGTCCAATTCGGTCTGTAAACATACGAGTGATTGACAAAATTGGACGACCGCGAAGCCGGAGTCCAATTTGTCAATCACTCGTGCGATTACGGACAGAATTGGACGACAAGAAGTCCTTTTGCCAATTAATCATAACCGTTACAATTTCCGAAAACAACAAATACATTTAGGTCAGATATCTCCCGTAGAGATAGTGTCTAAATTAAAAAAAATTCTCCATTTTGGAAATTCTTCAATTTTTTGAGGATAAGTGATTGTTGCTTAGTTTATTGTGATTAATTCTGTGATTGGTGGATTTGGTTGAGTGGACTTAGTAATATTGGCTACCTCAACTGTCCGATTATGGCTAACTGATTACAGCTCTACAGAATGATTAACGACAAATAAAGCAGCAAATGCACCAATCACGTTTGAGGAAATTGTAATGGTTATGATTACAAATGTAATATCTACATAGAATATGACAATTTCGAAATTGTCATCGTGACTAATTTTTTTCTGCATTTATTGACTAATAAACCTTGAAAGTTACCACGAGAGGTGTTTACGCCTTCAAATTTTAAATTGTGATTTTTTTGCAACCTTTGAAATAGCGGTTCCTCGGTCCCTGATCCAAACTGTGGAAGAACCTTTTTGAATTTTTTTTTTATAACCTTAATGTTTCTTGCCCTGCAAGTAAAGGCAATTTTGTCCTCTATGTAGGTGCAAATCCGGACAGAGGTTCATAATTGGAAAAAGGTGGCGGAGAATGGTGATGAAGGGACTGAATGTCGTGAAAAGATCCTGGGCTTACTGAGCCAGTTTCGCGAGGCACAGAAACAACAAGACATGTTAATTGAGAAAGAAAAGCTTAGGTTGGATGCGTTTAGAAACTGTATCAATGAAGACACCACGAACAGGATAAAAAAACGATTGACATTCTTCCAGAAACTAAACAAACAACACGAGGCATTGTTGGAGCATATCCGACAGGATATTCAAGAATGTAGAATGATTTGTAAAAGATTCAATGATTCGAGTGGAAGGTAAGTTCTTTGTTGCTGTGCCTACGCCTTAGAAATTTGGTTCGCTTCTTATCTTAACATTTTCGTGATGGGAAAATCGGCATAAAAATCGGAGAATTTAGGTTTTGTCACAATACCAGTTCCTTACTAAGGCTC